GAGAGGCAAGAGAGTGGGTGAAGGTGTGTGAGGGTTGCTCGTATCTCTGCTCGCGAATTAGAGCCGGACTGTTACAGCGGAATTCGGCTGAGAAAGAGAAAGAAGCGGGGCAAGGGGATGGGAGGACGGTAGCAGTCCTTTGAGTTAGCAAGCTGATCCTCCAAGCTCATCCTATAGCAAAACAAAGGGATCAAAGTGGTGCGGATGCGATAGGAGGCTTTCACTTCCTCTCACGCTCGCTCGGCTCCCAACTATACCTCGTTTGTCTTGTAGTTTGTTCGGAATTTTACAGCAAACACCACCGCTGTGGCGCTTTAACAAACATACGAAAGGAAAAGGGAGAGAACGGAAGGCCCGATAATCAGGCCGGTAATTTGACGTTTTTCGTCAGCCGGCATTGCCCCTCTCTTCAACGGCTCTCGTTATCTCCAAATTTGATCCGCGTCTCTTCTTCTACGGTAGTGGCTTGTGATCGTCCTAAATCTTAATGCGATTCGCGTGCGCTAAGGTGATTAAGATTCTCATATACTCGTCCGTCTGTGATCGCGTTATCTCTAATTACTTTGATATGCCTTTCGTGTTCCTACTAATTGAATTATGCGCATCTGAGATGCTATGTTCAATCGAATGTTTCAACATTACAAAATATCACCGTTATGAGTCGAGATAATTTAGCAATGTGATAACCTCTGTTCCTAATGTTAATATGAATTCAAAGTAATATTAAAAAATGTATAATATAATGTTTGGAAAATAACGTAAGTTCGCGTCACCTAAACTGGTAACAGTCACGAGAAAAATCTGTTCGGCTGTCGATAACGCCGGTCTTATCACTCCTGTCCCTTTAAACTACGTCCTATCTGTAGACTGTCTACAAGCCGGCGAAATTAGCGCGTCGGTTTAAACCCGCCTTGACGTTATCCGGCGGATAAGTAATCCAGGAGGAGATTCGAACAGGACATAGTAGCAGTGTAATCGATAATTCCCACGGAGGAGGATGGTTGGTTTATAGGTGCTCTCGAGCCATCTAAATTGCGTAGAGATTAGGTGCTCGGAAGCCCGTATCCAGCATCGTCGGTCGAAGGAGCAGACGAGAGATCGAGAGAGAGAGAGAGGAACGGAGGGATGGGAGTGATAGAGAAGAGTAGAGAACTAGATAGAAGACAAGAGGATGGGGAGAGGCGAGGGCCGCGGGTTTGAGATGCAGGGAGCGCATCACCCTCTGGTTATAATGGCAAGATGGAAGGAATGGGGCTAGGTAGGAAATTTGCAAATTTTCACGACGGGGCACGGATAATTTCCGGTTGGCTCGGTGGTTTCCGCCCTTGACAAATGACTGTGGTATCCGGTTATTGGCTGCAGCGACGACCCCCTTCGCATTCCGAATCAGGGGGAATGTCTCTTCGAGCGTTATCAAATGCACAGGGGGGTAGACAATACGTCAGCCAAAAATGCAACGCAGTTATCTTTCGCCGATGCCACCGTTGTCTTATGCATAAATTCTAATTCTATTGCGCGACATTATTTTAATTTCTTATTTAAATTGCTAATTTTGAAAAAAAAATTCATGTAGAAACACAGCATAGACTGTCAAGAATATAATCGATATAAACAATTTGTTTCTATACAAGTTTCTGTACAAGAGATCGAAACGTGTCTTCCTGATAATTTTACTTGTGTAAAAAAGCTCTTTGTATTCTATTTTTCTTATTTCTGTCGAGTAACTGTTTAAAAGGCATAATGCATATAAAAGAAATGTCCACATATCTGTAATTAAATCACTTTGCTATGTTACTTTGCCAACCGTGATAGTTCCATTATCAGCAAAGGACTGCTATCTTAATTGTGAGATTATGAAAATTAATAATTGACGGCGTTATAGAAATAGAAAAATTTCAATCTAGCAAATTATGAAAACCTACTTCAGAACTATTCTTTTTTTCAAAAGAACATTCTTCCCTCCTCTTTTATCGAAGGAGATACATTTATTAACGTGACGTTCCTGCTGACGAATGCGCGGGGAAATCCTACGTGCGCTATTGAAAGCGACAAAGTGGCGCGACAACGATTTACTCACAGCGAACGTTGAGAAAATATCCGATGCTGGTGAAAATGCCGAGCATATGCCGCGTATAACACTTGTACCAGCCGCTCTCGGCCCGAGTGATTTTTGTGAAGTTCAACCATCCGTCATCGCTCTGCTCCACGGGGGGCGGTCCATTGTCTGAAACACAAGCGGAAAGCTGGTGGATATACGAATTAACGCACTGGAAACAGCACGCACGGTCCGCGGATTTGCGTTAACGTCGTCGCGCAGTTCGCATCAACCGAGCGAGTCGGCTGCAAGCGACTTCTCTCGTTGTTCACGATTTCGCAACATTTTTCATAGAGACAATTGCCGCACGCGCAATTCGATAAATTGCCTGAAACTAATCATTAATCGTCGAAAGGATGAAGCAGGTCAAAAGTTGAAACTCAATTGCTTCTATAATTCTAACAGATACAAAGTGTTTGCTTTCTCCCGTGTGGCTGTATAAAGTTCCTTTATGAATGTATCGTTTTGGCAGAATGTGACATGTAGTTCCTCATTAATGATAGCATAGATTAGAGATACAGGCACAAAATTAAATAGATTGAGAAAATATGTGAACCATTTCGTCTCGCTCATATTATTATTGAAATTGCGCTTCTAAAACAATATGATTCACTTCCTTAAATAATCCAATTATATTAATTATGAAACACGTATTGCTTTCGCGATTAAGTATACTTAGATAATGGATTTAAAGTTGCCTGTTTATTCTCAATGATTTCGAAAAGAGAAAACAGGATAACAATAAAGAAAGAAAGGGAGAGAAGGGGACAAGAGCTGGCGTGTCTCTCGGTCAAATTATTCCCAAGATAATTAAGATAATAACGCAATCCGGTAATCTGGGGTGCGACGTATCACTGCAATAGAATGAAACATTTATTGCTGCTGATGCGAGCGGCGAGCGTGGCGCAGAGAAATGTGCGCTGCGTAGTAAACGAATGAACGAAAAGAACCGAGTTCAAATCCAAGGACGCCGCTGGTTTTTTTCGGAATCTCCCGAAGAGAAGTGGCAACCACCGAGAGTATCTCGTCACACGTACTCCTTTAGGGGTATGGCCTTCCAGATGGGAGGTTTCCTTCAGCAAGGTTAGCAGCCTACCGAAGATGAAGTAAAACCAAATGCTCAAAGTAACCAGAACGAGAACTAGATAAAACAGGCTTTTTAAGCCTAATACGAGGAAGAAGAAGAAGAAGCGAGTGGCAAAGTCTCGAAAAAAAAGTAATTCAATTATGGAAGACTCTCGAAAAGGAGAGTCCAAAAGGATGCTCGTTCGACTTATTCATAAATGCGAAAATGACTCCGAGGGAGCCCGGTATCAATTTGCCGGCCTTTCCTTTGCCGTTTATCGCCAAACTTTCATTTAGCCCGTAGCCTATTTCTTTCTCCACTATTTCGGCTCTACCATCACCGCTCGTCCCTTCTCTCCTCCGCCGTCGACCTCGTTACGGCGAAGCCGCGGATTCGACGCAGCTGTCGGATTGGCTAGTTGAAACTATACCGCACTCGCGAATGTGGAACTACCCTGGGGAACAAAGGAAGAGCGTAGAGTCGGAAGACACACTCGTGAAAGGTGGAGGATTACACAGAAGGCGGGAAATGCGGGAACGTGGGAGTAAGGGCCGTGGTAGCGGAGGAGGGAAGGAGTGGATTCCATGTATCGCCGGACCGGAGTTTTGTGGTGAAACTTTTATATAGGCCGGTCATAATCACGGGAAGGGTAGTGGGCTATTCCACTAAAGACACCGCTCGCCTTTAACGTTGCCAAGGCATGCTCGATTGTGTTAACGATACGGTATCCTTGGCGAACTTCGTGAGATGCGGCGCCGTTTCGCATGAAATAGGGCCGGGCCGTGGCTCGATCCAAAAAAAAGCACGACACTTCCGGTAAGTTCGGCCGGAGCTGGGCCAATTTGGCCGGGAAAATGAGCGAAGCCAACTCGAAGTAAATTGAGGACGAAGAATTTTCTGCCAAAATTAAATAAAATTTCTCGCTTGGTAAATTACAAATGTGTTTCGAATTGGCATACCAGCGTGCTTTTATGGAGAGACATTTAGATTCCAGTAATTTTTTTCGCTCATGAAGAAAATTATATTTGAGTTCGAACATTTGGCATTTCAACGTTTCACCGATATACATGTAATTTGTCCAGTTATAAATTGAAAGTACGGAATAACAAATGAATACCCGAATGATTGAAACAATAGTGAATCGCCGTACGATATAGTAACCGCTCGTTCGCGGTGTTTCACGTCCTTTTTATTCGATTGTACACTTAATAATATAATTAACGTTGGAACTGCCAAAGTCCCATGCGATTGTCGTATCACGATGATTTATCCGCATGATCATAATAACTTGACAATTTTGTTTTCATAATTTATCAAATTATAATAATGATAATTGATTGATTACATTTAGGTAATTTCAATATTTGATGTACAAACACATGACATAAAATAATAATAATAAATTAATTTAAACCTATAATGATTTCTATTTTTAATGACGAAGATTGATTCTCAGGGCAAAAGTAATTTTATTTTCGTAAATCCACGATGTTCCGATTAATCGTCCAAGATAAAACAATCTAACACTCTTGGCAAGTAGTAGAGTCAGCTTTCTAACGAGGCCAAGATAATAACTCTGCAATTTTTTTGCGCAAGAATATTGAAAGTTACGTTTATCTGTGTGATTGTTTTTTTTTAATCTAGTGGCGGAGTTGACCAGCGCGCAAACACATTTCTCTCGACGTGGCATATCATGTTACAAAGCACGTGTACTGCACATGTTTCGCACCTGTTTTTTAGTAACGGATTAGCGCACCTGTCAAATTACATACAAAAGGTATACACGATTTTCTAAGCGCTGTAACGAAAAATCGACGTAGCAACGTGCAACGAAAACAGATTTTTCATATATCGCATATCACATAGATATCTGTATTAAAAATATATTGTGCGTACGTATAAAAGTGAAATGTTGCTTTACAAACTGCAAAAAAGACTTGTTGCATAACCGTAATATTAAAAAGTATCCAAAAAATACATCAGAAATATAAAAAATAATGTTACTGCTCATAAGATGCTGACACTTAAAAATAATGTTCAGCTAAAATATCCGGCATGTCGGAGATAAAAAGAAAGAGTGCACAAGTTAAAGAAATAAGATCCTCATACTCGCCATCCCGATTTTTAAATTTCGAGCCTTTTTTACGTACTGTGCCGCCAAATATTATACCATAATAAGCTACCATCTTCCATTAGATCATCTTCCTCTCTCGCCTCTTTTCGTTCCTTGGCAGCAACTTTTATCACTGCTTTTTCTCTTGTCTAACACTGCCGACATATGTCCCATATGTTACTTAGTTTTATACATACTGGGTGAGTCGTAAAGGCTGTCCCAACCTTTTACCATTAGAGGTGAATTATCAACCGCAACTGCAGCCAACTCGGAAAAAAAATGGATAGAATCTCGTTCTACATGTCTCAATCATGTAATTACATTTCTCGAGAAATAATTAGATATTACATGATTGAGACATGTAGAACAAGATTTTATCCATTTTTTCCCGGATTGGCTACAGTTTCGGCTGGTAATCCATCCCTCATGGTAAAAGGTTAGGACAGCCTTAATGATTCACCCTGTATATATATGTATTCTTCCGTAGCGTTTTGTCTAACCTCTACTTTATATCAAACTTCAGCAGGTGGGCTTTGCAACAACAACTTTGTTGGTGCCTCATTTTTTGCTTTCGATCTTTTCGTATTACTCTTTCTGTCGCTGTATCTCTTTGCAATAAATTATTATAAATTAAATTAAATTAAACCTAACACCGATAATAAATACACTAAGTATGCCTTTAGACAAAAGGAGTAATATAAGGTCGTAAAATGCGGACTCCACAGTTAATAAAATTGCGGAACGGTCCTTGAATTATTCTGAATATATCATTAGAGTTCTGATATCTTCGCTTTCTCCAGACCACCTCCGAATGATAATCGCATAAAGAGCGGCTTTCCCTTAAGCGATTTCACGCAGCTGACGCCCCCGTTTTCTTCTTGCAAAACGTCCCTGCGTTCAATGTATCGACGCGATAGATCATCCGACGGTACCCTGATAAATTATTTTTACGTTTATTACTCTGATCTGTGTTTGAAAGTTTTCCCTACATGCTGCAAGATGTGTTGGGTACAATCACAAATTACACGTCCAGGAATGGCATGTTGGCTTAACTCTGGCTTAATCGTTTAAACAATCGTTAGTCTCAAAGCGAATTGCAGCTTTGTGAGGCCATATTGCGAAATCGACTATTTGCACGACTACTCGTTGCAATACGGGAAATCGGGAGAGTCCGAATTTGCCTGACTTGTCTTCCCTATAAAGGCTTTGAACGAGAAGCGGACGTGCCTTCTCGAGAAGGAGCGGGACGTTTAATAAGAGCAACCGTACCAAAAAGAAATTGGGAATGGGCGGCGGCGGCGGCGGCGGCGGCGGCGGCGGCGAGTTTGGGGGAAAGGTTCGTGGACGGCGAAGGCATTGCCCGGGGCGGATACGTGCTCCAAAGGATATTAAAGTATTTTAATTGCAGCGGATCTCGCGGAACGCTGGAAGGATTTATTCGAAATCACTCGATTGAGTCTATGAATAGGGATTAAGCTTGGCCCCGCCGGCGCGGTGCTGGCTCGGCGCAGCGCGCGCCGTCGCGCCGAGCGAATTCCAGACGTCAGAAGTGGAAGGCAGAAATAATTGAATATTTAATAGGATAACTCACATATAGCCGCTTCCCGTCGCAGCCGCGCGGCGTCATCCGTCACGACGACGGGACGTCGATTTTTCTGTCACGTCCCGTGGCTGCCGATTAATTATACAGTCTGCCCGGGCGTAATACGAAGACGGGGACGACTTTAATAAATCTAGTTATTTCGTAGCCAGTGAGCATAAAAAAAATTATTTCACCGATCCGCGATACATCCTCGCGTAAAAGGTTGGCGATTCCCCCCCGCCCGTGACAGTAATATTGACACGAGGAGGGCATTGTCTGTCGCAAGCAGAATTGGAGCGTACATGCATCAAACGAGATCCGCGATCAGAGATATTCGCTGCTGAAACATCATAGAAACAAACGATTAT